TCCTGTAAAACAGCTTTCATATAAAGTTTCCATTGAGTTCAAAACTTGTTCTTGTCAGTGAGAAGATTTGTTGTTTCTCGTTCGATGAACTGTGAAGTTTTGTGAAAGATTAGCGCTTGGCGCTTGATTACTTTTTCGGTGCTATTGTATCGTTAGCTATGATTGGCTTATGGTGACTTTAGAGAGAAGACAAGATTTGATCACGCTATTAAAAGATTTTTTTGCCTAAACGACTCCGTTTTACTAAAAGTTATTTTATAAAAGCAATAGACCACACTTTCTATGGGTTTACCGGCGTGATAACCCACGCGGGATGTTGGGAGAACACGAGAAAAGCTTGTAAATCACTCGCCTTCGGCGAGTGATTTACAAGCTTTTCGAGTGTTCTCCCAACATCCCGCGTGGGTTATCACGCCGGTAAACCCATAGAAAGTGTGGTCTATTGCTTAAGTAGGCCTGAAATAAACAACACAAGCTTGTAAGGGTTACTACACAGCTGCCATGAGAGACGAGAACGGATTTCGCAATACAATTTGTACTGCAGTGTCCAATGAATGTAACACTGTAACTGTTTGCTTACCGATTACAACGATGTACAAAGAAACCCTGAATCTTGGAATATTCCTTGCTCGATCCCTCTGAGATCCTGCAGATCGCCATATTTGATTTTAGACAACTGAATTATGGGTGCAGCACAGGTCACCCAGATAGTTAGGGCCTGTTGATAGGTGCTAATCTTTGCGGACAGAGGTTAACAGTAGGGTTGGCGAAAAACCGTGCGTTTTATATTACAGAGTGAAGTTCGCACTGGGAGAGTTTTCTTGTTTGTGAGAAAGTGTATTCTTACGTAATGGAGTAGGCCATTTGCACGTGATGTCATTTTACCATTATCAGGGTATTGCTTTCTTGTGCAAGTTAAGGCTTTTGTTATTAAAACCTTACTGGGACTACCAAATTTAAATAGAAGAGAAAAAACGAAATGAACTCTGGTCTTAGTAGTAAAAATAAAGGGATACGTCATCGTTCAAATGGCCCACGGAGCTGTCGCCCGCGCGAAGCCTCCGGCCATGCGCAACTTCGCTGCAAGAGATCACGGTGAGTGAAACTGCATTAGTTTTTTTGTTTGTTTGTTTTTTTTTTGACTTTCACAAGTAGAAGTCTTGACGTTTCTGTCAGTCTTTAAATGCCGGTAACTCTGGGAGACACTCGAGCAAAAGCTCTTGGTTCTTGCCGCAAGAGTTACCGGCAGGTAATTGGGGTTAAAACGAGAACGGTAAATAGGACATCTTGCTTGGAAACCGCAAGAGGTGCTCCGAATATTTCTCTCTCAAAGCTACTATTAACTTGAACCAGTTAACAAACTTTAGTAATGCTAGTATTTTATGCTGCAATACTTCTTTCCCTGAATTGCTGTTGCTTATTATTATTTATTATTATTATCTTTTTTCACCAGAGAGGGAGTAAAGCAGTGGTCACTGCGCTAAAGGAGCCTAAAGAACTTCGACCCTTTCGAAAAAAACAGACCCAACGGACAATACAAGGACCACGGAAATAGCATACTAGATTGCTTACAAACCCTGTGTGCTTTAAGAAACCCTTTCTGGCCAAATTAGAAAGATCACCATGGCAGATTATCCACTACAAGAGATAGCTAACACTTGTGTTATTTCTGTCTGATTTCACCTAAAAAGGTACCTACCTAAGAATTCCAGCCGTTGGCTAGTGTAGCTATCTAACTTACCGCCATACAGTAGTGGTGACACACGCAAGCATTGAAATCAGTGCATACTTTTTGTTCGTTATACTCCTCCCATATTAGTTGTTGGACAAGGGCCTCAGAAGCAGGGGGGGTTCGAGGGGAAAGGGGCGTGATTCGCTGGCCAACCTCTACCACACTTGAACAAACCTTAGCCACTCTAAGGCCTTTTTGGTAATTCAGAAGTTACGTCAATTTGGAGACCACAGAAAAGGCATCCATTTTTTACAGAGCCTCTTCTGTTGTAGGGCACCTTTCTCCAAAATCAGACAGATAACCCTAACAGATAAGCAATGATGTGTATACTGCTTTAATATTCACTGCAGCAGATAGGTGGCCATTAGAGAAGGTGGATGAGTATTCATTGGTGCAGTTAGCTGGTCATTTGGGAAATTACCACGTATTAATTCACCCTAACAGATAAGCAATGATTTGTGTACTGCTTCAATATTCACTGCAGCAGATAGCTGGCTATAAGAGAAAGCTGTTGAGTACATTTATATTGAAGCAGTTACCTTGTCATTAGGAAATTACCACATATTATTCACTGTAACTGGATAAGTAATGATTTGTGTACCGCTTGAATACTTACTGCAGCAGATAGCTGGCCAGTGGAGAAAGTGATTGAGTGTTCATTGAGGCAGTTACCTAGTCATTTGGGAAATTACCACATATTAATTTTCTGTCTGATTTTAGAAAAGGGCACCTTTCTCAGAGTCCCAACTATTGGCTAGAGTAGCTATCTAACGTTCCGTTGTACAGTAGTGGTCATGCACGCAAGCATTGAAGTCATTGCATGCTGTTAGTTTATTGTTTTTCTGCTCCGGCCCATATAAGCTGTTAGGACAAGGGCCTCGGATGCAGGGGTGAGGGGAATAGGGGGAGAAGGGGTGTGGCTCATCAGCCAATTTCTACCATACTTGAAAGAAGCTTGGCCACTCTAAGGCCTTTTTGGTAATTTAAAAGTTAAGTCAATATTGGAACCACAGAAAAGACATACATTTGTTACAGACCCTCTTCAATCACTGTGCCAATAACGATTTTCCAAATACATTCCTTAAGGTTCAGGTGCAATCAATATAGTTACCTGAATTTTTCAAGAGCTAATCGGTAGAGTCTTTTTTCTGAATAGCTCCTGTAAACGTCAAATACCTAATAGAAAAACTGATCAACATCAAAGTCATGAAACTAAAAAAAAACCAAAATCTTCACGCGGGGATGTATTCAAGTGATTCTATGGGGACGTGATAGGTCCAATAATTTTTGGAATTCTTGGGGCTAATTAACTTTGGTTTATTTAAAGGCATTTAACTGGATTTAATTATCAATAAACGACAATCAACAATTTTCAATAAACGAAAATCAATTTGCATTCATTAATTTCATTTCTGTTGAGTCACGAAATGGACATTTTGGTCATGCACAGTACTTATCCAACCAATGAAGAATTTTTCCGTGACAAGGTTTTTTTTTTCTAGAGAAATATTACAACAGTGAAACTCTTAACTCAGTATCTACTTTAGTTAAAGAGATTTGTCAACAACCCATGCATTACATGTTAACTAATAGTTTGGACAATTTCGTGACCGATTTTTAGCATTTGATTCTTAAACGTAGAAGATAAAGTCGGTGAATATACTTGAAATTAAACATCTAAGTCTGACAAGACTCTGTACCAGACTTAATTGAACTTATAGCTCCAGTCTTTTTTACTCAATATCTCATGACTTCCGGAAGAATTTTCTTCGAGATTAAACTTTGCTACCAATTTCATTTTTGTCTTACATATTTCTACTTTTACTTGATCTCGCTCGTATACGTTGGCGAGGCCAAAATTTATACTGTTTATTGGCTGGCACCGTAAAAAATGGAACAAAATCTAGCTTTAATTTTTTCTTTCCATTAAACTTGCAGAATGTCTTCGGTTTTGATTGACCGTACAAAAATTGTTTTGCTTTTATACCTGTTTGGATAACAACATTCACGTACAGATTGTACAGGCATGGTACTCATGATAACTACCTCGCTCCCAATGTGTGGCTTCATAGCTCAGTTGGTAGAGCAACGCACCGGCAACGCGGAGGTCACAGGTTCGAATCCCGTTGAAGCCCTGATTTTTTTCAGGCTTCTTCTTTCCAATTGCTTCAATTGGAAAATTTACTGCGATGATCATTCTTCACTTTCATCTACAACCTCAGATCAAAAATGAATTATCTCATATACTTCACATCATTTCACTCCTCATGGGAGATATGTACTCAATAAATTGACCTCGCTCCCAATGTGTGGCTTCATAGCTCAGTTGGTAGAGCAAAGCACCGGCAACGCGGAGGTCACGGGTTCGAATCCCGTTTTTTTTTTCAGGCTTCTTCTTTCCAATTGCTTAAATTGGAAATTTATTGCGATGATCATTCTTCACTTTCATCTACAACCGCAGTTCAAAAATGAATTATCTCATATACTTCACATCATGATAACTATTGTTATGAAAATTAATGTAACAATAATATTATAATAATTATAATAATAATGACAATAATAATAATTATTATTATTATTATTGTTATTATTAGTATTATTATTATTATTATTATTATTCATTCAAAATATTTCCCCGATTCTGATTGGCTAAAAGCACACGCATAATTCACCATAACCAGCTACTAATAACCAAATTTGGAAGAATTTTGCGTATAATGAACCGATGACGTCAAAAACGCAGCTTTCTTGCAGGTTAATGCACCATTAACCGAGAAGACCTGGGGACGAGCTAGAGTTGTTTTGGTTGTGAAAACAAAAATGGCGGACTCGTTTCACTCGTTTCGAGAGAAAGAACTAGGCGAAATAATAGCTAAAAACATGGCAAGAACAGCAAGAAGACAACTCGAAAGGCGACATCTGCTATTTGGAGAATATTTGCGAAGTTGAACAACCCTAAATGGCACTATTGAAGATGAACTTAACATCGATGGAGGTAAGCGTTTTTTAGCTATGTTTTTAAACTAGGAATTATTTTGAATGGATAATAAAAAAATTATTGAATTCGACTTTCGCATCATATGAGATCTCGGACGGTTTTATCCGCCTCGGCCATCGACCTCGACGGATAACACCCTCCTCGTTCTCAATAATTTTTCATAAGTTAATCAGCCTCATTCATTAATTTTTTATCATTATATTATTATTATTATACATTTAAAAGTTGTATTGAATTTGTTGCTTCGCCTATCATATTGAAGCAACTTACCACTCTCAATACACTTGTTTCCAGTGTTCTAAACTCAAATGATTCCCTTTCCAGCAATGTGTTATTCCATACTTCACTTGTTATTGTTATGTTGACTTTTCGCATTTGACAGCGACTACCTGTGTTCGCAAGAAGAAAGATGATGCTGATGATGAAGAAGCACAGAAAATGCGTATATTAAATTGCACTAAAACACATTAAACAAGCCTTGTAAGTGGCTAGTTGTTGGTAGATATTAGAAAACTAATTAGGCACTTGAGGACGAGACCATATTTTTCTTTGCATAAAAAAAATCACTAAAACTGGAAACAACGGTGACAATAACATTGATGATAAGAATATTTTAAAATGTTACGATTTCAATTTGTTAAATCTTGCGCGAAAACAGGAAGTAAGTGGTAACAGCGATCCCGAGGACGTGATGAGAACGCTAGTTGTTCAATTTTATATATGTCGCTGGCCCTTTTTTTAGCGATCGCATGGAAAGCAGCCTTACATCTTACGTTGACAACGCTGACACGAGAAGCCTCTGATCCAAATCCATTATTAGCTGTGCATCTGTATAACCCAACATCCGTCCTCTTTACATTAATAATATGCAGCCTGTGACCAGAAAAGTTCAACTGATCTTGTACGACACCGACTTTCGTCCATGTGACGTTAGGCAAGGGATCACCCGAAGCATTGCACGCCAAAGTGACATTTTGTTCAGCTTCGATATCGACTTGCCATGGGGGATTCACAGTAATATTTGGAGGGACTGAAAGATAGAAAACAGTAAATATAATTGAAAAAAATACAAAATACCAACACCCATTTAACCAATGATTTTAAAAAATAATAATAACGCATGAACAGTTCGGGGCGGATTGGGCTATAGGAGACTATACAATACTCGTCACATCAGTTAAAACATCTGTCGCGTTACGCATACCAACAGCTAGTTAACTAGTGATGTAGCATTATGACACATGGACAGTAAAGGGAGGGTTGAAGGCTAAATAGGACTACAATACTCGTCACATCTGTTGAAACACTTATAAAGTTCCTTCCTCCTCAATGTTGATTCACGAATTTGCCATTTGCAAATAAATGCGAATCCCAAAGAGAGGAAAAGTACGCTCAGGGAAAAGTTGAAAAAGTTGGCTGAAAAGCGTGACCAGAAAAATCCTCAGTTTTTATCCATTGTTTTCAACGAAATGTGGTGAGTAAAATAGCTACATATTCTTTCACTTTTACCATCACCCTTGTGATACCTCTGAGTATCTTTTGTACTTCTTTTAATGGTTATTTAGAACATTAAGTGAGGTCCACGTCAAACTGTTGTGAACAGTGTTCTGAACACTCGGCTCCTGTTGTGGAGGTCATTAGGGAGTTTAAGATACGGAGACTACGGACTACGAACTACGGTTGGACGAGCGTTGTCCTTTGTTTGTAGAACTGGGTTGAGTCGTGCAAATGTAGGACGTTAAGATTGCACTACAGACAGTAGACTACGAGAGAAGAGGCGGAGAGGGAAACAACACGCAGAGATTTTCTTGTTTTCATCACAGTTCACAAAAATGCAAGTCAGTTTTGCATGTGATCTTATCTTTAGAACAATGAACAAATTCTTCCATACTTGATGGAAGCAATTACGTCCGGTGAAATTGGTCAACAAAGTTTTGGTTACACAGGTTTTATTTTTTTCGCCCATGAACACTTATGTCAAATATTAAAGAAATAGACTGAAATAGTAATGGCTCATTTATTAGATTTAGAAGATGGACTTCTCCGACTTCTGATATGATGTAGTTTGAAGTATTGAAACAGCGGTAGTTATCTAGGGATGCAGATAAGCCTCGTTGGTGTCTTCCCCTGTCTTCCCTCGCAAAAAGTGGATTCCCTTAATTAATAGGCATATGGGTCTAGTCAATGACGTCATCTATTGTGATAACCTAGGGAAAAAATGGGCTCGTCCATACCAATTAAGTGTCTTCCTTCATATATAATGAAGTGGATTCCCTTAATTAATAGGCATATGGGTCTAGTCAATGACGTCATCTATTGTGATAACCTAGGGAAAAAATGGGTTCCTCCATACTAATTAAGTGTCTTCCTCCATATATAATGAAGTGCCTACTCAGTGTCTTCCTGCATACTAATTCGGGATAGGTTTACTAATGAGCGTCACTCTACTACTATAGGAACAATAGTCTTGCCTAGACTTGCCCGGTAAGTAACTTGAGCCCGGTTTTCGGACCGTCTATTAAAAGAAAAATAGGAATAAGAGAAGCGATCACCTAGCAACGCGAGAAACGGCTTCCTATATCTTATTTAGCGCTAAAACTTGGATATATATAAACAAAACATACACAAATTGGAGCTGTAAACTCTTTATTTCAAGTTTGTCTGACTATTACAGAACCGTTTTCTCCTTTCTATCTCGGGGAAAAGAAAAACTATTGAAGTCTTGTCATTTTCGCGCGCGGTTAATCAGTTAATTATGCGAGTTCACAAGCCCAAAGTTGAATACAAATTAGCTTTACAGCTAGACCCCAGGGAGCAACCTTGACGTATTATTATAAAACAAATAACTTAACAAGCATCAATTAAAACACGCGACTCATAATTGTAGCAATAAAAAGACAAGAGAGATATCGTTTTAAAAAAAATTATTAAAAAACAATGACAAAAAGAGTCAAATACACAGGAATGAAAATTAATTAATCTTTATCTTCGCCCATGGAGTATTTGTAAGGTTTGAATTTCTTATGCTAACGTTTCTTCAGCTGTTTGCCATGAGATTTATGATCATCCAAATAATTTAGAAATTGAATCCGACGCCTTTTGCGCTTCGGTCCTTGTTGTGATGGGGTTTCTACTGTGAGAGGAGGGGTCAGGAAAGCAGAATTTAAGGGTGGTGGAGGGGTGAGGCTTTCTTTGTCAGCTTTTTGAGAGATAGCCGCTTGTGTTAATTCAGGTGTTACATTAAAGGGGTTGAGGGGAGTCGAGAATGCTGTCGTTGCTGTCGAAGAATCTTGTGTCCTTGATGTTAAGTCTGGAACAGTACTGATTATTTCTTCCGGTCGTGTTCTTGCATTTAATTGTTCTTTAAAAGCCAGGTATCTGTTTTGCAACTGAACGTATCGCTTAGCTTTTTGATCGTCCCGAAGATCGTTTCGAGAAAGCACATCATCCATATTGCCCTGTGTTTCTTGCATAGCTGGAAGAAGTGGGACAGGCGAAAGAGTTTGCTGCTTCAGATATTTTAGGAGCTCTTGAGGAATATTTTCTTGAAACCTTGCTTGGTTAAAGCCTTCTTCACTGGGCAGGACGTTTGTTCGCAACCGACAATTATCTTGGGTAGAAGTTTTCAGATCAATAAGAAGATAACCAAAAGGTCTTTTTACAGCCTCTTCGTACTGATTTAAAAAGAAATCAGTCTGCCCGGGATACATTTGCTTCGCCAGAGTCAGGATTTGCAATTTGTGTCGTGGATTCTTGAATAACACCAGATAATGGCTGTTTAAGCTTATGCTGCGGCTACCTTTCCCCCGATGAAATAGATTCTGCAGGATATAAATCACGCTCAGATTGCGATGATGAGAACCACGAGTAAAAAGGTTCACAATTCGCTTGTCCTTACTGGCGTCAATCATCTGATCATCAAACACGATCAAATTCCGTTTGTTCACATCAAAATAGGAATCTTGCTCCAAAGCCGTAGGAATTCCCTTGACGAATTCAATGTTTGGCAAAGCGACTAACATTTGTGTAGACGCAGGCTGCCATTGTGAATAACACCAAACGATCCTCCCCGGGGGAGGGTAAATGGTCTCTGAAGCTGTTTGCAATAGCGATCGAACCCAGGCCGTTTTTGCGGACCCGGTCATTCCGGCAATCATGGAGGTGAAAGGATGCTCGAAGCGAAACCGCTGACATTTCTGTGAAAATATTGGAACTGTTTGAAATGGGGTGAGACCAGCATTGCGGTGTTTAGACATCACGTGCCTTTGCATATTGTCTTTTCTACTAAAGGATTTTTCGCAGACAGAACAGAGCCAACTCATGTCAACTCCTCAGGAGCAAAATGTAGACTGAGAAAGAGGTAGAATGTTTCGCATTTATATAGGTTTTCAGGCCACAAAATTATATTGTTTTCCTCCCCCAAAACCACCACCACCACCACATTTCTATTGTTTTCTTTCCTCCTCCTCCTTCTGCTCCTCCTCCTCCTCATTTCTATTGTTTTTCTCCTCCTCCTCCTCCTCATTTCTATTGTTTTTCCTCCTCCTCCTCATTTCTATTGTTTTTCCTTCCACCATATTCTATAAAAGACCACCAACTGCCATTCTTAGTTCATTTTGTAGCAATGTCTCGTGTAGTGAACAACAATCGTGGTTTTCTTCAGCTGTTAGCTGCTTGCCCTGCTTATCAGCGCCAGTTTCTTTTAAAGACAGCTACACCACAGTAACTTCATGCACTAGTCCAAGTCTTATACAATTTACTCATGGGACACATTCCCATCTCCGAAGAAAATAAGCGGGTATTGCTGCCATATAAGGATGCTTTACTTAACCTGGCCAGTCCAAATGTCCCTTTCAAAACAAAGAAGCGAGTCCTTGTTCAAGAGGGTAGTGGTTTTATTGAAGATGTATTAGCCCCTGTCGTTTCAAGCTTAGGATTTCTAATGCTATAAAAGAGGTGACACATCGCTAGGTTGCTCATTCGAAGCTAAGTCTGTCACGAGTACTCATCAAAATGAAGAGAAAGATAGATTTGGTTGAAGAAGAAGAACACGAGAGTGAACATGAAGAAAGCGGAAGTTCTGGTGATGAAAGCGAGGATGAAGAACCAAGAAGAAAAGAAGAACCGAGAATAAAAGATGTTTTGAGTCATCTTTCCCGAGCAGTGCCGGAAAAGCGTGCTTCTGATTTGCTGCATAGTATGGCTGCGTCCAAAGATATTCTTTTCTGGACCCCCAGCGGACAATTACTTCGAAATAAACGCACTATTCCCGTCACAAACATCGCTGAGCTAGTTGAGTATGTGTTACTCCCTTATAACAATGAGGTTACCAAACCTCGTGCGCTGAATACGTTTCTAGATGGACTTGCAGAGTTAGGAATCGATAAAGGTTTAATCAAGAACAAAAAGTTGTTAAGTGATTTAATAGAAAAGGAAAAAGGCTACCAAAATGTACAAAATACTTCTGATAACGAGAGTAGTAATGAGGAGAGTTCATCGGATATTGAAAATCAGGAGGAGGAGGAGGAAGTGGCTTCTGAGAATGGCGCTGAAGCGAAAGATAGAAAGTAGTAACCCTGAAACGTCCACCACCTTTCACTCCAAAAGTCCCTGTGAACACTGCGAGAACTCTAATGTGTACGGGGCATTGATCATGAAATGTCCTAAATGCCTTTGGCACGATTACCACAAGATTTGTCCTATATGCGATCACCAGATTCCCGAGGGGAGACATTACATGAAAGAGGGCTTTCTTCGGTGTCACGATTGCGGAGCAGTTACACACAAAAACGCGAAGACGTTGGAAACCAATTTCTATTCCCCTTCTACAGAGGAGAGCGACGATGAAGATTAATTAATTTTCATTCCTGTGTATTTGACTCTTTTTGACATTGTTTTTTAATAATTTTTTTGAAAACGATATCTCTCTTGTCTTTTTATTGCTAGCAATTATGAGTCGCGGGTTTTATTTGATGCTTGTTAAGTTATTTGTTTTATAATAATACGTCAAGGTTGCTCCCTGAGGTATAGCTGTAGAGCTAATTTGTATTCAACTTTGGGCTTGTGAACTCGCATAATTAACTGATTAACCGCGCGCGAAAATGACAAGACTTCGATAGTTTTTCTTTTCCTCGAGATAGAAAGGAGAAAACGGTTCTGTAATAGTCAGACAAACTTGAAATAAAGAGTTTACAGTTCCAATTTGTGTATGTTTTGTTTATATATATCCAAGTTTTAGCACTAAATAAGATATAGGAAGCCGTTTCTCGCGTTGCTAGGTGATCGCTTCTCTTATTCCTATTTTTCTTTTAATAGACGGTCCGAAAACCGGGCTCAAGTTACTTACCGGGCAAGTCTGGGCAAGCCTATTGTTCCTATTGTAGTAGAGTGACGCTCATTAGTAAACCTATCCCGAATTAGTATGCAGGAAGACACTGAGTAGGCACTTCATTATATATGGAGGAAGACACTTAATTAGCATGGAGGAACCCATTTTTTCCCTAGGTTATCACAATAGATGACGTCATTGACTAGACCCATATGCCTATTAATTAAGGGAATCCACTTTTTGCGAGGGAAGACAGGGGAAGACACCAACGAGGCTTATCTTCATCCCTAGATAACTACTAACAGCCGAGTTTCGATTGTCTCGGAGATGTTCACGTCATTTTCATTCAGCAAATGCGATACAAAAACTAGCATAAGCAAAGGTTTACACAAGTAGAAAGACACACTAATTAGTTCGAACAAACATTGAAACTTTTCAAGTGCGAAGAGAAAGCAAATTACCTGCATGATTTCTCTTCTCTTCGGCTGTCAATCTGAATTCTGCGTATAAACAGCTAAGCTTATTTAAATATGAGCTTAGCTCGATGAAAATGTAGTCACAACAGTGGATTAAAAGCGTAAATCTGAGCAGAAATTAGACACCACTTACATATTTCGCTTCCCTCTCACTTAAGGCAGGTGAATTGAAACCTTTTTTACGAAAAGACGAAATTCTTGAATTACCGACACGGCAAAATACGAGCAAAATGTTCTCAGCAGTCCCGACTACGCGAAAAAGCTCAACAACTCACAGGACTACGCGGGAAAAATAAACAGTCACGTGGTTTTGATCATGCGCAGTAGCATGTTTAACCGTAGTCGTAGTCCGTAGTCGCCGTATCGTAAACTCCCTATCAAAAAGAGGCTACGAAGGACAGAACACAAACAGCCGTGTCACACTGAAATGCGTTTACTTCACTACTTGTTCGTGTCTACTAACGACAATTTACAGAAAGCCAACACAAAATGTTAGTTTACTGGTCATCATACATCCGAACTTCTCAAAAAGCCACTGGTACACACTTGTATACTCGCCATCCATGACCCATTTATTCACATGTATAACCCCATCATGCTAACCAGCGAAAGTGAAAATATGTGCGTGGACTGAATATGGTGTGTACCTCTCCATATTCATTAGGTAATGGTTTGATAAATAACAGTAAACAGAGATTTTAAGAGAAGTTACACAGGAACAGAGGACTCTGCTTAGTTCCTGCTCTTTTCTTTTGCCTTTTTTTGTCTCATGCATTGTCGTATTCTTGGGTAATGGGCTCAACCAATTTGGCTAGTTTTCATTTCGGGCCTACCGGCTACAGCGTTGCTGAAAGAGCGCGAAAACTGAACTCACGTTAGTTTGTCACACATTCTCGTTAGAAGTAGTCCAGCGTGCACATTAAAAATTAGTTCTATTTTATACTCCTCGACGAGTTAAGTAATAAATCTCTTATTGGACGATTCTAGTATGTAGTATCGTAGGATATTAATTTTTACGCGTATGTTCTATTTTGGCTTGTCCTACAGGCTCTCCAAAATACAGCGTGACTCGTAAAAATATCCCACGATACTACACACTAAAGCAGTAATACTAGTCTGTTAAGACACCATGAGGTTCGTCGCCATACAAACCCTTCTAAACTTTGCAATGATGAAAGTCAACAGCGGACACCATAGCGGACACCCTAATTGTCTTACGAAAAATTCGCCACAAATTGGTTCGCCATCTTCTCCTTTATCATCATCATTCCCTTCGCTGTCATAGTAACGGATGTTGCGATTAGGGTGGGTATCATCAGCGTATAAATGATACTGTAACTTGTGGAACTTGATGATATCAGCAATGGGTGATATATAGAGGAGATAAAGAAGAGGGCCCAGAACAGACCCAATAAAAGAAGTATAACAGACTCATTGTTGTCAATAGCACACAGGATGTCATTCTGGACCCTTACTAAAGCTGTCTCGGTGGAGTGAAAGTTCTTATATGCAGACTGAAACGTCTCATCCAAGTGGTGCGCCATGACGTGATCTGTGAGTTGTATGTCAACTGCCTTTTCAACGAGCTTCGATACTACTTTTAAGTTGGAGATAGGACGAAAGTTTTGGAACTGTTCAAAGTCAGCATCCGATTTTTTCAATGTGGGCGATAGTATAGCAACCTTCAGAGCATCGGGCACAACACCAATCGGTAAGGACAGATTGATGATCCACATAATAGTAGGAAGTAATACGTTAAGACAGCCTTTCAAAACCACCGCGGGTAGAGGATCAAGTTAACAAGATTTAGACAGTGGTTTCCTTGAAAACTTTTTTATTTCCTCCAGGGTAACCTCAGCAAAGTTACAAAACTCTGTACCACAAACTTTGACGTCAGGAGGGGAAGTGCCAAAGCGTATTTTCCTTTCAACAAGCCCATAATGTATTTTATCAATCTTGCCGGTAAAGAAATCGGCAAATGAATTTGCCGGGGCAGTATCTTCAGAAGAACGAGGATAACACTTCTTGGTTGATTTTTGCAATAACTTTCCAACAGTCTTGAACAATATCCTCTGATCTGAAGAATGTTCAGTAATGATGTCAGTGTAATATGTCGACTTTAGTGACCCAATGAAATTGTTGACAACGTAGCACTGATGAACGTATTGCTCACGATCACATAGTAATCTAGTCGAACGCCACTTCCGCTCTAACCGCCTTCGGATGTTTTTCTGTACAGCCACTTCCGGTTTATACCAGGGAGCACGTGGTCGTAATGTTATTGTTCGCCATTTTAAAGGGGTATAGAGATCCAAATTGATCGCAATACATTGTCATGTTGATCCAAAAGAGCGTTCAGTTCGACAGCTTGATAAGATCTACAAGGTTAATGCGTCATATGCTGGACCTAAAAGATTGTAAGCCAGGTTTGTCTTTGCCTTTACCAGAGTCCTTTAGATTCTAAGATGAGAACGGTAACGAGTACGACAGTTTTCAATACTAAGTAGTGCGACGGTGAAACATGGCAATTTTGGCCGGAAAACGTGATAGTCGTCGTCTTACGTCGTCATTCTACTACGAGTTTAAGCAAGAATGTCCTAGTGGCGGAAACGAGTTATCAAGTTTTAGAAGTCTCGCCACTTTGCGATCCTTCAGTTTAGATAACAGTGTTAACTTTTCTTGTGAAAACTAGAAAAAGAAAACTTTCCCTGGAGTCTATTTTTTTGAGAATACAAGACAAACTTTATAGTCAGAGCTCGTAGGTACCCCAATTGTTCTCGTCCTCGAATGCAGAGATCTCTATATCTGATCTAGACCATGTATGATTCAAAGTGCGTCATATGTGGAATGTTTCCCGTAATGTACAGTATTAAATTTCGATAAACCTGTTTAGTATTTACCAAATCAGTGAATAGCAATTTTCGCGTGTTTTGATTGGCTCCCGGCGTAACTCGGAATATCCTTTGCTATTCACTGTTTTTCGGCGAAGATGGCGTCTCGTTTCGGGACATTTTACGAAGACGAAGTTTCGTAGAAACAAACACCAACAAAGCGACGAACTTTGGCTTGTCAGTGTTTACTGGTAGGTAGAAAAATTATTTTCATCCTGAATTTGCAACAAAATCGTAAAAATGCACTTGTCAAAATTCACAACATGTTTGTAAATTGTGAACAAAGTTCCTACTAAGTCACGTCTTTTTAATTTACAATAAGTTACTTTTTTTCATTTCTATCCGACTGATTTAATAAATACTAAAACAACTATCCCCCTCAGGGTCGCTGAACAGCGCTAGATATATACCTCGACGCCTCGCTTCTCAGTACATACCACCACTATTCACCTCCCCTTCAGGGGATAGTTGTATAATATCCAATGATAGCTGGATGACTAAACAATAAGGGGACTGCACACCTTAACTCTGATATTTTGACTGAGGCCAAGGATAAAAGGATAAGCTGGCAACAGTGCAAACTTGTGTTTACCCCCCAAATTTTTTTTTTATTTACTGTATTTACTTTTTTTCGCTTATGAAATAGATGGTAAAATGTGAATGTTCTTGACAGATCATCAACCTGAGAAATGGTGTGCCATGGTATTGAGCTTTAACCATTTTCACCCTACATTTGCGCATAAAAAGGTTATTATGAATTATTGCAAATGGGCTCAAAGGGTTAGAAAATCCCAAATGTATTGTAAAAAAAGGAATCGAGCACAATCGTATAAAGCTGATTATTATTCTTTCAAAATATTTCCCCGATTCTAATTGGCTAAAAGCACACGCATAATCCGCCATAACCAGCTACCGATGACCAAGTTTGGAGGAATTTTGAGATTAATCGACCCATAATTTCAAAAGTGCAGCTTCCTTGCAGCTTAGTGCTCCGTTAACCGAGAAGACCTGGGGACGAGGTTGAGTTGTTTTGCTTGTGAAAACAAACATGGCGGACATTTCACTCGTTTCAAGAGTAAACAACATGGCAAGAACAGCAAGAAGACAACTCGAAGGGCGACAAATGCTATTTGGAGAATATTTGCGGAGCTGAACAACCCTAAACGTGCCCTATTGATGATGAATTTAACATCGATGGAGGTAAGCATGTTTTAGCTACGATTTTAACCAGAAATTATTTTGAATGAATAATATAATAAAAATCGAATTCGGTTTTCGTATCGTACAAAGAATTATCGAGATCTCTGAGGGTGTTATCCGCCTCTGCCTATGGCTTTGACGAGTATAACACCCTCGTCAATCTTCATAATTCTTCATAAGATACTCAGCCTCATTGAATAAATTTTTAATTAATTAACATTGTACAGCTTATGGCATTCACTAGCCCACGAGATGGATCGGTATCATGTAAAACAAACCAACGTCAGTCTGGTTTTCGAGTGTTCACTCTCTAGTATAGTGAGTAAGATCGGTGACGTAGTTTAACATACGTGTATAAGTACATCACTGGGCAAACATGGCAACAACGATATCGATTAAACGAATAGCGATATCGAGTTCAGCCTACACAGAGTTTAACCTAAAGAATGGAAAAATATTTAACAATTATTCCACGAGTGCACGTTGAATATGAGCTGGCTATAATCATGTCATATCCAACAAGCACGAGTGGAATAAATGTTTACAACGACCAAAAAATACAGAGAATTCTTCCCGACTTTATTTGTAAAAACGACCGATTTTCAGCTTGTTTTCAATTTTGAGCAGACGCGTACAGTTACAATTTCTGGAGAGCATGGTAGAATGGCTGTAATTATTCCATTTTTCATACTCTTTAGGAATTCCGATTTTACGATTGCCAGATTTGTACCACGTGTTACTGGGTTGTGACGAGGCAACCACTTTGACGTCATTATCGTGGTGTGATAGCCGTGGTGTAAATTCAACACACCACTGTCATTACACTAGGATTCGGCTGACTCAAAGCTAAAAGTTTGACGATCTGTCAGATGTAGACACTGATTCTATTATTGATGATGCAATTCCTAAAAACACCAAGGAAGCAACTGCAACTTGAAAGGTAAGGTTGCGAATTTTAAATTTTTCATTCAAGCTAGTTGAGCTATTTTTGCCTTTTCTCAACAGTTTTGCCAGCTTTGCGCAATGAATTCAGTTTGAATACAAATGTTAACGCACTCATTGCTCTAAATTATAGGCATTAACCTGTACTCGTTCACTGACAATGAACTTGAAATTTTCGATACCGTACTCGGCAAAGCCTCATGCGGTATTGATCGATATTTGAGTCAGTTTTTTATAAAAATAAATACATAAAGGAATAATAATAATCGTTAATAGTAGAATCATTATGATAATTAGAATAATAATACTGATACTGACAATGTAAATAATGAAAATAATGAATAACTTTTATACTTACCAAACACATCCACGAATATTTCACTATTTGTCCTCTTCTTGATACCCAAACTGGAATTATAAGTAATTCGAAAAGTATATCTGTACTCTTCGCTATTTTTCACGTCCCACAAGACCAGTGTTGAGGGAAGTTTTGCTTTATACCTAGTTTTGAATTCAGGCTTGGAATAGGTGAACCCATTATTATCACCAGGCGTCCAAACTGCTAGTCGAGTTGAACTTCCTTTACCAGGTAATTGTCTAAAATAGGACACTGACAGAATTCTTTCCTTTATCAACTTTTCGTATTTCCAGTTAAGTACATCACGGGAGCTGTTCACTCCTTCAACAACCACTGTGGGATTTTGAGGGGTTTTTGTAATAGTCAATGTTTCTGAAAAGAAATGTTACGGTAATACAGTGTCACTTGATTTATCGGGATAAAAGCCTAGCCTAAGCTTCTAAAAGGGATAAACGGTTTATCCTTTTTTGAAAGTATGCGTTACAAGGCGCCAGTGGTTACCTGTCCAGCGACTTACAGTGATATCAGTAGATCTTTACAGTATGATTTCTTCACAGGTTTCAACCAAACGTGACTGATGTTTGGTTTCCACGCAAACAAGAAGTGCACAATTAGTTGGTAGAATTAGAATATGCGGAACTGTGTTTTACGACTATGTGGAGGCTTGCAATTCGTAATCATCTAGTGATAATAAAACTTACCAGACCCCTGAAGAAGTATCAAAATCACGGCAAAGCAAAAACACCACTTTGAAATCCCTAAGAAGCTATGTTCCATCTCAAATACAATGCAAAAGCTTAAGCTTCCACCTATCAGTGCTGTATCCTACAGGGTAGTTCGACAATATAATATTCATGAAAACACGTAAATCAATATACACTGGTTCATCCATTGAATGAAGTATCCTCTTCATAATAAAGCAATGAAGCAAATATTGCTCTATCAATATATTTTAGTGGCGTTAGTAACTTATCGTCGGGCAAAGTTGCATTGGATTTATACTGATCACAAATTAGGGTGACTCCGTCTGTGTAGTTTGTGTAGATTTACGTCACTACATTACAAGAGATAACAGCATAAAAAAGTCTTTAAACGTTTTCCATTCGATTTTTCTTTACTCCTTTCATTAATTTATTCATTTTCTATTTTTATGACTCCTCTAAATATGAATATTGACATGCTTCTCCAGAATAAAGTAAGAATTGGCAAGAACTGATGTAAAAACCCATTATATTGCTAGACTAGATGGAGGAATTTGAAACCTTCGAATCCTGTTAGAATGATGAT